ATTTTGCATGCCATTTCAGTGCTGGAGCATATGCCATCGTACTTCATGTTTCATCCTTTCAATGCCTTTGGAGAGTTGTATTTTGTGCCTTAAGCTTGGGCCAACATGCATGCATGTTTGTATAGCATTTTGAGTTTCCATCTTAGCATGCATGGCCACTGATTTGGACATGGCTGAGGCTTATCCATTTTGGTTTAAGTCCATTGCGCATTGTATATGCCATGTAATTCATAGCATTGTGTGCTAGTATGTTAGTTGCATGCTTTCATGCTTGTCCCTTGCATCGTGTTCATATGCTTGTTTCATCGCATTGAATGTTTGCATGCTTGAGCCGCATTGTGTATGCCATGCCATGTTGTTTATTGCATTATGTTTGGAATAGGAGTTAGTCCAAACACGGGAAACGAGGGACGTTTCATACTCAAAGTGATGAAAAGTGCCTCAATTCTCAGTCGCCGACACTCTTGACTATACATGATGGAGTTTTAGGCTTTATGTGTTCGTGTGTGCATTCATTTCATATTGAGTTGTGCAATTTGGCTCCTCGGCCATCATGCATCGAGATGCGTGATTGGTGGCCTGAGGGTCGAGAACCATACTCCCTTGAGCGTACGTAATGATAGGGGCGGTGGTTGTGCATACATGTGTTGCAAATATTTTGCCATGCCCCTTTCTTGCTCTCTGTTATAGCAAACTGAAGTCTAGCAGCAGAAACTAGTCGGTCGACCAGATAAAGTGGTTGGCCGACCACTTTTTCTGATTTTCAGCACAGAAAGTGGTCGGCAGGTGGTCTCCAATGCCAACAACTGGTCGACATCCCTCCTACAGATTCCCATGATGGAGTTTCAGCCTTCTGGAGCTTTTTGCAGTGTTCTGAGACCAGTTGCAAACAGAGGCAAATCGGGACATCGCGATGGATTTTCGCATGAGGTAACCGAGCACGTATCCTTCGTCATCCAAGGCAGATTGGAGACAGCCTATTCCATATAGTTTGCATGTTTATTCAATTGCTAACTTAGTTAATTTGTTAATTAGTTAGAGTTGTGTAATAATTAGCTGTAGCTTGTTATTCATTCTGTTGTGTAATAACTAGTTTAATTAGATTAGCTTAGATTAGCTAGTTGGTTCTGTATTATTCATTCGGACCCTCCGTCTAGAGGGCACAACTGTTGTAAATAAGTTTGCGTGTGTGTGATACATGTCTTCCAACCCCCATTTCTTTCTCCCTTTTATTTACCAACTTACGATGGTTAGTTTTAGGGCATGTTTCAATTAGCATCCTTATGCTCGCATATTTGCATCCATTCATCTGTCTTGCATGCATCGGGCTCGGCGTATCATGACTAACAGCATTGTATTTCAATTCATGTTTGAATATATGTATCAAATTGCATTTCACATGACATTTTAAAATAGCCGAGCCTATCTTAGTTGCATTTTGTATGAGTTACATTAGACATTCTTGACATAGCTAGGATCATGTATTGACTTCTAACATAGCTTTTGTTTTGGCTCGAAGTACTCAGTAAGTGTTTATGCTTTAGCGTCCTTGCATGTGTGTGAGTGACTTCCATGATAGCATGCTTGCCATGAGGCTAACTGCTTATGTGATATAACTTTCTGAATGCCTGTGGGTGAATGTTGGATTACTTGAATTGGAACAATTCATTGATTGCGAGTTTGAAGCCCACTTGAGAGTGGCAAATCACCATGTTTTCTAAGCCCACTTGAGGATGGCAAATTCCGCATTTTAGCCTACTTGCGAGTAGTAAACCGCTTTCAAAAACAGACATGAGATGTTTTGTTCCAACTTAGGCGATCTAGTCTATACTTGTATGCTGTGCGCATCACATAGTAATTCTAGGTTAATAACCAGAATAAGAGCATGTGTTTTCAAAAACAAGATATCATGTTAGTAAAGGCCGATCTTTGATCGGGCGAGCGGGGGTGCTCGTTGCATGACCTTCCCCTCTCGTACCCAAGTTCCCAAGCCGAGACAACTTTGGTGATGACGAACACGTGGCCTTAGGCACGAGTCAGGATTTCCTAATTTTTTTTAAAAATAAAATGTTTAGGTGGCGACTCTGTATCTGGCAAAGCAGTGCATGTTTGGCACTTCTTTTTAAAAATCAGTTTTTCGAAATGATTTGCCGGATTTAGACTTTTTGGTGATTTATCAATCTCGCATTGCACTTTGCGAGATTAGATTCAGAACTGTGACATTTGAGTCCGAACTGTAGTGAGCCTAATGAACAAAACGGGATTTTCCTGGGACATTCGAGCGCGTCTACAATAACGTAGATAATTGAAGTAATGAAAGTGTTTTAATATGAGTTGTAGTCTCATTTAACTATTTGGTTAGATAATGAGCCATGTTTATGAATTTAAATTGGATAAGTAAAGGAAAATGGAATGAAACACGGGTGTATTTATCATGGAACTGGAAAGTGGTGTAAGTTGGTTTACAAGTATTAACCATCTATCGAATGCTAATGTTTTAGTTATTTCTCATATTTGGTTTAGTATATCTTTGCTGGGCTTTGGCTCACCCTTTATGGGATATCATTTTCAGGTACAGATAGTATGCTACCTCCAAGGACGTAGCTTGGGAGGCTTCGAGGCCGAAAGATCTTTTGTTGTTATCTTTTTGTATTACATGTAAATCAAGCCAAAGGCTTATTTTGTATAAAGAGTTAGAACTCTTCTTTTGCTGAACCCAAGTGTTGACTTGGAAAGTTATAAGCCGATAGGGCATTTACTTTTGTTGTCAACATGTAATACTTTTATACTAAATACTCTGATGAATGGAAGCATGCTTTATTCTCTTATGTCTATGAATGTCATGAATGTTGGGTTTATATGCATTATTTTGATGGCGTTACATGTTTTGTCATAATGAGGTGGAAACAGTGGAACATATTTTGCTTTTCTGCCCTTTCGTGTGACTGCTTTGGTCCGACATTATACACTAGTAGGGATTTCAGTGGGTGATACCAGGTTCAGTGAATGGTTTGTTGCAATGGTGGTTTGGATGTAGAATGCAGAAGCTGGTGAAGAAAATCTGGATGGTTATACCTTTGGCCACTCTCTGGTCCACATAGAAACATAGAAATGATTGTGTTTTTAGTGGCACTCAACCAAATTTGGAAGCTCTGTGTGAATTAGTGCAAGTTAGAGTTGCTATGTGGCTTAAAGCATCCCAGATTCATGTGGACTTTTCTATAAACGATTTGGTCTTTAATCTATCACAGATGAAGTACTGCATCAGGAATAGAGGTTGAAGGCTGGAGGTTGAATATTGATTGGTACTTGGAAGCAAGGCTACTGGAAGGAGGTTTGCTGCTGTTTTATTTGATTGTTTTGGTTAATTTGATTGAAGTTCATGGCAGTAGGGCTGTATGTCTAATGCTACAGGATGTCTACTTATTTGGCTGTTGTGCCTGTTGCTTTGATTTGTTTGGTTAATTGGGATGGAGTCCAAGGCAGTGTAGTTTCAAGGCAGTGTTTGAAGGGTTAAAGGGCTGCTCTTTTGCTCTGGTTTCAGTGCTGCTGGTTTTTGCTGGTTTGCTTTGAATTGTTTGGCTAATTGGTCAAGGTTGAAGGGCTGAAGGGCTGCCTGATGCTTTGATTTGTTTGGTTAATTGGGATGGAGTCTAAGATGGTGATGCTGGTTTCTAGGCTGCTGGTCTTAAGCTGTTGTGCTGCTGAGGTGTTACTCTGATGTGTTTGCTTTGCCTTAAGCTGTTTTGCTCTGCTGCTGCTACAATGTTCCTTAGCTTGTAGCCTGCTGCCCTTTTTCTCTGTTTTGCTTTGTCTGTTGATCTCTCACCAATTAGGAGGTTGAAGCTTTGTATAGCTTCAAACTCCTCTTTATTGATATATTTCTTCATACTCTGTATGTGTTTCATCAATAAATTTTCTTTTTGCCGATCAAAAAAATAAATAAATAAATAAGGATTGAACCCCAATAATTTTGAGGTTCTCTTGTTAAGCAAGAGCTTACATGTTTCATTCTTCACCCTCCACTCTTATTTGAGGTCATTTTTGGGACTAAAAATATAATTACTCTGTTAATGTGTGAGGCATGATCACTATATGCACGCTCCATTTATTTGGGTAGAAAATATTTTTTGTATTGAAAAATGCTATATAAATGAAAAAAATTTACAAACTTTTTTTACAAACTGATACGGCATGGAGTGATACAACTTTGGAATGTAAAATGAGGCCCAATTTATTAATATTCTAGGTGACACATCAGTTTGTAAGGAAAATTTGTTTGTATAACACTACTCTTTCGTATTTTCTAATATTTAGTACAATAGAAAACGAAAGTCAATGAAAATCATTGAGGTTTTTTGTTTTGTTTTGCTGCTGGAATGGGGTATGTGTTTTCTTGTGAGTTGAACAATGTATTGTGAGGAAGGGGTGGTTGTGTTGATTCCTTATCAACATTCTGTTTTTTCTGCAGCTGTTTAGGCATATTGGAACTTCGTGCCGTTCGTTTTTAGCTATTCCAGCTGCTGCTGTATTGCTTCTTTGTTGGCTTTTCAATTCTATCAATGAATCTATGTTTTTACCAATTATTAAAAAGAAAATAAACAAAAAAAAACATAGAAAAAAGAATCAATATGGAAAGAAAATGTTTTCCAATTTTAAAAGGAAAAAAACATCTAGTAGACTAGAATTTTACTAATGTCATCATACTACCATCATCACTGTCACCTCCACCACCACGCCACCATCAGCATGGCCACTGCTGTCGCTATCTCCGCCGCCGCCACCCTACCACCATGCCACGGCCACCACCTCCACCTTCATCTCCATCTTCGTTCTATCACCACCACTACCAAATACAAAAAAATATTTTTTAGAAAAAAAATTTCAAACAAATGAAGCGGTATATAATATATATCTCGAGATTATTTAAGGTAAAACATAAACACTCGTGATAAAAAAAAAAAAAAAAATTAAAAAAAAATCACGTTAAAGTAACTACATTATACAAACCTCAAAAACTATTAACTTGAACAAGTACATAAAACAGAGAAAATATCACTCAATACAACATTTTAAACCCAAACTGGGTACAAACAAAACCCATAACATTACTTAAATTCTATAAAGAAGAACCCTGATCACAAGCAACACATAAAAATACTTCATAATTATTAATCACTTCTTTGGCCTAATAAGCAGATAATTAAGAAGCAATACAAGCAACCACTCAAAACCCTAGTATTCTCCACGATATTGGCTTGCTCAGAAGACACAACTCCCTTTTCTTAAAACCATGATTAATCTTCATCGTTGTCTTCATCGTCGTCTTCAGTGAATTCAGTGGCACCAAAGGCTGCTTCAACAGAGGAATTGTGGGCAGCTTCCTCGTCGATGGGCGACTCCTCCAGCTTCTCTTCTTCTGCTGAGTTCCTCTCTTTTTCTTCATCTGATAGTAACATTTCTTTGGGTTCCATGGTGTCCGATTCTGAAGGTAGTGGAGTGATAGTGTCTTGATTGACTGGTGAGAGCACAGCTTCATCAACAGTTGGAGTTATCTCTGGGGTTTCTTCTGCAGGCTTCTTGGTCACATCCTCATGCTATACATTAAAATTTGCAATTTCATAAACTAAATGGAAAAGAGCGGGTTGAACAGGAGAAAAAAAATGCTATTTACTTTAAAAAAAAAAGAAAAGAAAAAAAAAGAAGTGTTCATGATTTCAATATATGGTGTAAATTTATTTTTGTGTGATGTGGGTCACATTCTAAACAATTGAATAACTACAGTAGTAGTGTGTTAGGCATGCTGTCATCAAATGATGAGAAAGCAAGATGTACATATAAGCAAAATTGTGCAAAAAGGAGTCAAATTAAACTTATTTAGATTTTGAAAGACTGTAACAAAATTAAATGAATTTTGGAGGGAAAAATACTAATTTCTGTTATAAGTACTTAAAGTTATATGGAAATAATGAGGTTTTTTATAAGTTTGCAGGCCAAGATAAAATTATTTAAATTTTGGTGGAACTAAAGTAAAAAAATTATATAAATTTTGTTGGCCACATGCTAATTTATTTTATAAATATTTAAAATTACATGGTAAAATTGAGATTTTTCAACAAGTATGTGGAGAGTTAGAAACGGGCCTAAACGAGTTTCAAATGCAGGGATTCACAAGCTATACCTCAAATATAGTGATAAAAAGCTGATGGTGCAAGATTAATGAACATAAGCCTCGCATCCCAACAGCAGCTTAAATATCTTGAAATCAATAACATATAAAATACTAGTCCTAAATCTACATAAGAGCTAGCTAAGCCAACATAGTGATAGTATTTGCATACTTTTGTGCAATATATATATATATAGAGAGAGAGAGAGAGAGAGAGAGAGAGAACCTTGCAGCAGGCCATGAAGAAGTTGCAAAAATTTAACGGAAAACTATAAAAGAGAGATTGGGGAGGTGGGAGGTTTCAAAGAGGCACAAGCAAAAATGTTGGGACATGAAATGAAGAAGATGTTAAGACCTATTTATAAAGCAAAGGGAAGCAATCAGATGAGCACACTCATATGCTTTACTGTCTGGTCTTCATCCCTTCACTTTATGCAATAATAATACAATCAAATTGGATACATGTACTAATTTAATTTTCAATATATTCAAGGAAATGGAGAGACTACAGTTCCAAATAGTTGAAGATTCTGATACCAAATAATTGACTTTCAGTTCAGCATTAGGTTCTTGGATGTAACATTGTTTTTTTGGTTTGCCAATCTATTCAAATTTATATTTCTTTTTTCAAATTTATATCTATTAGTTCAAATATATATATATATATATGTTCAAATAATAATATGGCTAGTCCTATCTCTTTAAAACATCCATCAAGATAAAGTTTAATCATAAAAATAAAAATATTGTTATCACATATCGTTATGATAGAGTTTTTATTATACAAAAAATTATATTCTCAAAATATTTATATCATGAAATATAATAAAACTAAAATATTTCCATATGTCATCTGTCATTTTATATTGGATAAATTGAAATATATTGAATTTCACGAGTTTGAAATAATTACATTGAACTATGATGCTGCTACAACTTTTAGGTGGTGGATGTTATTGATACACCGTGGGTCTTTCAGTATTTACTTGAGTGTTGCTTGTTCTTTTAGTTAAGATCTTCTTAATTTTTTTTTTCTTTTCGCTTGTTTTTATTTGATGCTTTGCTCTTATTTTGTTAAATCGTGAGGTTGAGGGTCTGTTGATGAGGGTGCGAGTTGAAGTAGTAGTAAAGTTTATTCACTCTTCAAATCTCTTTCAATGCATTACCATCTTGTACCTTTAATTTCAGGGTTCTAATAAAATTTTCTTTACCTATCAAAATAAACAACTAATCAATTAATTAATTACATTAAACTACCATAAGTTTTTATTAACACAACACTTAGGTTACATTTGGATAGATGTGAATTTTAAATCAATGGATTTGATCTTAATCATTCAAGTACAATAATTCAAATTTATATATGATAATTTATTTATGAATTTCAAGATTAAGTTAAATAGCTTAATCTTGATAGATTTAAAATCACTATATAAATCTAGTTATTTGAAATTGTATTAAGGACTAACTTTCTAACTATAAGGATCCTACTAAAATGTATGCATGTCTTCTTTCAACTTATTTTTTCCATTATTTTTCTATCTATTTAATCTCAAATTTGATTTGAAATTCGCAAGTATCCAAACGGACCTTAAGTCTCATTTTCATGAGTAATTTGTTGGTTGTATAAATAGAAAAATAATATTATTATATATTTTATATTAAAAAGAATATTTGACTTTATTTATCTCTCTATATGTAAATATTATATGCATTAGTTCTATGTTTTAATTTTATTAAATATATATATATATATATATAATTATGACAAACTTATAGAATTCATTATATATATTAATTTGGTTAACGTAATTTACCCTTTACATTACCACTGGCATGGCAATTGGCAAAATTAAAATTAGACAATACATAACATTTTGAAGAAATAGCATTTTCATGGTATGCAAGTCTCTCCTGTGTACTAGTTCTTCAATCACATGCCTAGTGTAAATTTTTTTTAGAAAAAGGATATACAAATCCATTAATATGTCAAACTTGTAATTTTTTTTTACCGTGTAATTATTTTATAACTGTCCAACTAAAATATTACTTGCCCTAACATTTTTGTACAATCAAACAATTAATCCCAAGATTATGGGATATCATCCAAGGAATGATTGGTTGATTAAATATTACAACTTGACAAGCAAAAGAGAAGGAAATCAAGAAAAACGAATAAAGAGAGAGGGAAATAAAGCAACGGTAACCTTTGGGTCCTTACCAAAAACATAGCTTTATATGTAATCACTCCAAAAGAACCAAATGCCATTCCACGCGTCAAGCATCTAGTGGTCAAATCTCACTAATTTCGATGCTGATCGAATGTTGTGGGACCTGGAAAATGGAAGATTGTCTAAAGAAGGTACCAGCATGAAGGTTCGTTTCGAACAACTTTATTGTTCTTATATATATATATATATATATATGTATATGTGTATTAAGGATTCTCTAGAGTGAAATTTCTTTAAAGTTTTCTAGAGTGTTACATTGTGTGGTTAAGATTTACTGGCAAGTAACATCAATTTATGTGACTTGCCAGTAAATCTTAACCACACAATGTAACACTCTAAGAAACTTTAGGAAAAAATCACTCTAGAGGATTCTTGCTCATGTATATGTGTGTGTGATAGGACGCTTATGCTTTGCTCTCCTTTAACTTTAAAAATTTTGAAGTTAATAATGCTTTATAAAAAAAAAATGGGGTTTTTTGAGTAAGAGATTCCTCCATCTCAAATTTTCTTGGGTACATCCCCATAGTATTTTGGGATCTCACATTTCTGTGGATTTTCATTCACTTAAAATGCTTCTCATCATCATCATCATCATCATCATCATTTTAACATTCATCTTAATTCGAACTATACCGTTATCATTACTAGTTTGAAACCATAACCTTGACCACCTTTGGCTTTGGCTGTGATTATACCACCTTCGGCAACCTTTCCACAACCTTCCAAGCTATACTGCACTCCAAACTAGAGTTAAATATGAAAATGCAAAGTGAAGAGCGTACGAAGAGAATAGAAAAAAGAAAGGACGATGGAGTTTGATTATAAATGCGGCGGCCAAAATACTATGATTTGTATTTTTTTTTAAATATTAAGGGTATGTTTGGTTTGCATTTAGGAGATGAGTTTTAGAAAAAAATTTCTAAAAAATTGTTTGGTTTGAGTTTTTTTTAAAAAAATTTCAAAATCACCTTCTCTATCTTACACATCAATCAATCACTTTTTCTCTTTCCTCTCTCATTCTCAATCACTTTTTTTCTCACACACATCTACTCAAATTCTCACAAAATATCAAATCATCCCAAACTCCCAAAAAAAAAACTCTCCCAAAATATAAAACCAAACAAACCAAAAAAATTTCTAAACTCTCTTCCCAAATTTTTTTTCAAAAACAACTCTCCCAAAAACAAACCAAACAAGCCCTAAGTAATTTATGATCATTTTAAAAAAGAACATAATAGTTATAAAAAAAAAATTTATTTAGTTAAAATGTCCAACTTAATTTTGGAGTGCAAATAGAACCTCCCTAAAACTACTCATATATTTGATTGTCTATTTGAGCTTTCTCTTTTTACAAGTTGAAAACCAAACGTGAGATATTTGAGCATTCTTTTTTCACAGCCTTTAAATGTCAAGGGGTCTTGTTCATTAAAATATTAAGGATGTCTATATATTTTTTTCAAATGTTATGTGATGTCTATGTATTTTTTATTTATTTTTTTTTCAAATGTTGGGCTTACCCTGAAAGAAGGCGGGCAAGGCAGCCTGCCTTGGGATCCTATAGTCTCTTAAATAATTTAACTCTCATGTTATATATAACTCATTGAAATAAAGTTGAATGAAATAATTATTTCATCATAATATCATTCTTATGTTTGGTTCATTAAAATGATAGAAAATATATTATAAATATGATCATCATTCATCAATAATCATTTTATAAAGAAGCTAATAAATAACTATTATGTTTCATTCGATTTCATTTCAATAAACCAAACTCTACATTATATTATAATATGAAGATCAGATTAATAGTTTAAAAGTAATGGCTCTGTTTGGTAGAGCTTATTTTCAGCTTATTTCAGCTTTTAGTTTAATTTAAACTATTTTGATGTGTTTGGATCACCTTAACAATACAGCTTAGAGTTTTTTGTAAGTCAAAAATCAACTTATTCTTTGAGTAGGGGAGGAGAAGCTTAATTTATAAGTAAAAAAATCAGCTTATATTCATAGTTATAAGTTATAAGCTGTTAAGGTATAAGTTATAATCACTTTCCCACAGCTCTACCAAACGGGTCCAATGAATGGTTTTGCCAAATGTATGGATTATTGATACAATATTATTGACTATATACTAGTTATATTAAATAATTAGGTAAATTACAAATACATCCTCCGAGGTTTGCTTAAAATACGAATTGTCCCCTATAGTTTAGAAAATTACAAATACATCTCTGTCAAAAATTTTTATTTAATAGAATTAATTGAAAAAGTGAAATTTCTAACTGTTCACCTATACAATAATAAAATTATCTGAATTATTAATGGAAATAAAATTATGACATTATTAAACTGTTAATCAACTTGATGATTTATTAATAAAATGACCTATTTGTTATGAAATTAGAAACCTTAGGGGACATAATATAATTTCTAGAACCACATAGGGTAATTTGTAATTTAAATAAACCTTAAAAGGTGTATTTGTAATTTACCGAAAATAATTTAGTTAAATTAAAGTTGATCAAATTTTGTATTCAATCAACTATGTTAAAAATTGAATAAAATGTAATAATGTTGCCCAATAGGTATGTCCAAAATCTGTCTCAATAATTATTATTTACGTCTATCTCACTAATTACGATTTTTGTCAACTATAAAAACAGGATCCAGTGTCACTGTTGTGCGTGAAACACAGTAGTGACTGTTGTGCTGTCTGTGAGACTTATTTTGGATCCTATTTTGATAATCCGAACCGTTGAAATTTTAGAAAATATTGGGAATAATATACTTGTAAAAAATCAAGTTGATCAGATATTAATAACCCCCTCATCAAATCACATCTTTATATAAAAATAAATAACTATGCATGTATTAAACTAAATACAAATGTTTTTGATGAGGAGGTTATTAATATCCGATCAACTTGATTTTTTACAAGTATATTGTTCTTAATATTTTCTAAAATTTAAACGGTTCAGATCATCAAAATAGAACACAAAATAAGTCTCACAGACCGCACAACAACCACTGATGTGCTTCCCGCACAATAGTGGCATTGGATCTATAAAAATAAGACTTTCGACGAGGGGAATCTTGGCTCTGGCCCTACCTAGTTATTTTTTTTTTTCAACAAAAGTAATTTTATTGATGAA